ATATCATTTTTTTTATAAAAAATAAAAAATAAAAAATTGACAGGTACGAGTATATCCAATACTCGACGGGAATGGAAATGAGGATGAAAATCACATACCCAACAAATATGAGAACGGGGACGGAGATGAATTTGACTTGCGAGGACGGGGCGGGTATCATGAAACCCGTACCCGCCCCGCCCTGTTGTCATCCCTACTTGGGAGGCTTAAGATGAATGAAACCCATGTAGGATGGGATAGTCACACTTAAAAAAGTAGTGATTACCGTGCAATTATTTTTTTTAACAATTTTTTTCAAAATAAAATACTTTATAACCTTTATTAATTATTATTATTATTATTATTATTATTATTATTATTATTATGTAGTATTTTATTTTATTTTCATCTAATATTCTCAACCCGCCAATCTTTATTGAAACAAGAAACATTAAGCAATGAATTTATATTAGCCCACCATGTATCACATCCTTATTCCCTTTAACTCCCAACTTCCATCTTCAGTTTATATTTGACTTTAATAACTTTATACCACAAAGTATGGTATTCTCCAAAATTTGTCACTTCCATTTTCCTAAGAAAGCATAATTAAAAGTCCTTATATCCTTAATCTCCAAACCTTCCTAATGATTTACTCCACCTCTCCCCCAACCCCCCACAATAATTTTCTTTTACAAATAAATTCAAGAGAAGAGATTATATCATTCAAAACCTTGAAGAAGGAAAAAAAAAAAAGTAGATTAAAAGAGATGACAAGACTAATTTAATCAAAACAACTCTTCCTATTAGTGCAACGTGCATACTTTCCTTTGAGTAAAGTATAATTTTTACCACTTCAATTAGTGGTCTACATATTTCCTTCTTTTTCTGTTGGCAACTCAAAATATTTAAAAGTAAAGGACCATATACTATGGTTTAAATTTTTTGCAGTCTTATCTAACCAAGTTTTTCCCACATTTACTCTCACAATATAAGTTTAAAGGGCCTTTTTTTTAATAAAAATTAACTACCTTAATTATTTTTATTAATTTTAAAATTATTTATTTATTTATTATATAAAAAATTGTATGAAAAATAATATAATGTTTATATTATATCATTGTTTTATTTCAAAAAAAAAGTGAGAGACAAATGCATGGAAATAAATGAGAGATCAAAACTTTTTAAAAAGTATATTATAATAAATTTTACTCCAATTTTCACAATTTTATGAGTTATAAAACTGGGATATCTTAGTGAAAACTAAGATATATTATCATTTTTATAATATTTTGTTCTTCTGCTTTGTAATTTTTTTTTAGTTATACATTATTTATTAAATGCTACTATATTTCGACTTGAACGATAATAATAATAATATTAAAGTGATGTTACAATTTCTGAATCGTGATTCAAAACGTTAAAATATTAATATTTTTTTAATAATTTTATAATAAAATAATTATTTAATTTAATATTTTATAATTTAAATTATTATTTTAATCATTCGGAATGAATTTTGGTACATGTGTTAGGAGACTCAATCATTGTTTTATCTATTAAAACACGTACAAGGTTAAACAGCAAAAAGCGTTTGTAGTCCAACGGTTAGGATAATTGCCTTCCAAGCAATAGACCCGGGTTCGACTCCCGGCAAACGCACTTAGTTTTTCCTTTTTCTTTTAATTTTGCAATTAAGTGCATGGTTCTTAAGTTTATTTATTTTTGCCAGTTACGTGGTTCTTATGTTTGATACTATTATTTTTTAAATCGGTAATTTTGAATCGTGTTGCTAAATTCTGAGTATTTATTTTATATTAGGGAGGACGAAGTTAGTGGAAATAATTTATTTAAAAATATATAAAAAAATTATTATAATTATAATTGTAATTATTATTATAAAAAAATTTAGAGTAGTATAAAATAAAATCGGGAGCTTCAAGAGTATAATAACATAGGTACAAAATATTAAAAATTAATAATCAACTATTGGTTGGTCATTGTATAGAACAAATTTTACTACATGTTAATTTTATATAAGTGGTCATCATAAATAAGTAGTACAAGAAGTAGGAATGTAATTGATAGAGTCAAATCGAGTTTAAACTACTCTTAAATAAAAATTCTTGTGTTAAGACAAAAGACGATTCCTTAAATTTTAATGATGATAAATAAAAGATTTTTTTTTAACAAAGTTAGCATTCTTCAAAGATATATCATACAAAAGAAATGTGGAATGAGGAAATCAAATGAAGCATATAATCTGTCTGAGGACATTAAATTGAGTACTTCCAAATGATACTAACATTAAATTCCATTTAATGTGTTATTCTTTAATAGATTGAATAATAAAGAAGCTTTAGAACTCTCAAAGTTTATTAAAGAAGAAATAGATAAAATATTCGTAAGAAGCAAAAAGCAAAATCCCCGATACCATGGAAAAGGTTTTGCAAAAAGATTGTTCTACTTTGCACTAACATTACTTTTGTCATGCTCATCTTAAAAGGAAATGATGATAATTAGTTTGCAAGATCAGACAAGAATGCATGTCTTATTGAAAGACATTTAATGCTTGCATTAAATGCATATCAACAGTAATCTCTAGGATCAACAAAGAAGACAAACGAAGCAACTCGTGAAGAAAATTGAAATGTTTAATTCAAATTTGTTGTAACAGTCATCTTCTCTAAAGTTATTATAAAAGGATCAAGTCTTCAAACAATAAACATAGAGAGAAGCATTGTAAATCAAAAAGATTGACACATACTGAAAAATTTGTATTAAGAAGTATACTAAAACATACAGAGCTAAAATACTACAAAGAAATTTTTCACTATAAATCTTGTAGATAATTCTTTATAGACTATTTTTGCTTAAGTTTCATAGCATCATGTCTATAAGAGATGAAACTATCCTTGTAACTCTTTTCAAATCTATTTATAAGGGTTGAGCCTGGAGAAGCTTATTAAAAGAATACTTAGTGTTTGAGCCTAGATAGGCTTGGTTGAAAAGAATAATTGGTGTTGGGTCTAAAGAGACTTGTTCAAAAGAATACTTGGTGTTGAGGCTGGAAAGACTTGTTGAAAGAATGTTTGGGTAGTTGCTTAAATAAGCAAGTCAAAGACTACTTAGGTTGAGCTAGAAGTGACTTGTTGAAAGAATACTTGTATATAGTAAAAGATGGTGAAATTCAATATGGTTAGATTGAGTCTCTGAGTTTGAGACGAACCAGTATAAAAAAATCTGTATTCCTTCATTTGTTGTCTTCTAACACTTTATTTGTCAAAGTTTTTACTACTTCACTGCATTTCAAAAAGTGCAAGTTTTTAATATATATTATTCAATTCCCCTTCTAGTGTGAATCTTTTTTCCAACAACTACTTTTATATCCAAACTAATTAAATTTATTCAAGTTAGATTGAGTTAAGTTTGTGAAAATAATTTTAAACAACACAAACTTCTCTAACTACAATCAGGTTAGGTCAAGATGGATCATCAGGTTGAACAATTAAAAATTAAATATATTTTAAATAATTGAAACAAATAAAAAATAGAAAAAAAAACTTAATTCAAATTTTAATACATGATTCAAAGTAAAAAAAATAATATTATAATAATTAATTATACATAAGAAATCACAAATATCTTAAACAAAAAAATATTATGTCACTTAACAAATTTTGAATTATATGATAAGTAATATTAAATTATTCTTCTTACTTTATACCTTCTTCAATTAGGTCAATTCATTACAAAAAGATAGAATTAAATATATGCAAAATAATATATTATGCGTTGTATTATGTATAGTATTTTTTTAATTTAATTTTATAATTAATTATAGGTTATATTAGTTTGAGTTCATTGGCAGCAAACTTCTCAAATCATTGCCCAACCCAATTATAATTGGGTAACATAAAAATTACCCAACCTAAGCCGATGACTCAATTCAACTCGCAAAAATATGATTGGGTTGGTTTGAGTAGCTTTGATCCACAAGGGGAGTTGCTTAAAAATCTTCACTTTTCTCATTAGTTTTTTTTTTGCTAAATTGTATTTTTGGTCCTTTATTTTTTATCAATTCGTAATTTTAGTCTCTCTATTTTAAAATAGAGACATTTAGTCCTTCTAATTTTAAAAATATAGAATTTTGATTCTCTCATCAAATTAATATTCATTAATCATTCATTTTTAACATCTAATGATACTAAAATAATGTGACATTTAGTATCATGACAATTGAAAATAAATAAATAAAAACTAAAAAAATCATACAAATAAGATTTATTAATAAAACAAACACTTATTGTTTGTTAAAATAGATACAAATGAAGATTTTGTACGTTATTTTTAATTTTTATCTTTAAATGTTACATCATTAACATGTCACTTAACAACATCAAAATTTAATAATAAAAAAATTTCAAACTGATAATTATAAAAATAGAAAGACGAAATGTCTTTAATTTAAAACAGGGATCAAAATGTACAAAAGAAAAAAAAATAACAAATCAAAATTGTAAATGGACAAAAATAAAAAAACAAAAAATACAATTTAACCTTTTTTCATATAATTTTGCAATTGGTAATTTGATCACTATGACATGAAGTATTATTCAATATAGTCAAATCCTATATGACACATAAGCATTTATTTTCCTAAATTATATTTTTATTTATTTATCTTATTTTTTATATTTATTTAATCTTTTATTTAAAATATTTATTTTAATTATTTATTTTTATATTTGAAACAATTTTACTTTTAAAATAACGACCAAGTTAACATTTATTTTTATTAGTTTTTTTATCAATAAAAATTACAAATTCTGTACCCAAAAGAAATAAATAAATAACCTTCAACCTTTATATTACTTTGGTATTATCGTTTTTTTTTTTTTCATTTTAATTTTTTGGTCTACTAGATGTAGTTACCAACCCACAATCTTCTCCAACACAAAAAAAAGAAAAACATGGCTTTACACACAAGTCAACTTCTTATCTACACAACACGCAAAACAAACTCAAAAATCAAATTTCATATCAACAACAACCAATAGCTGTCATCTATTACCCCAGAATGTGTGACAGTGTAGTAATACAATTACAAAAGCATTATACATGTTAAGTAACAATTAGCATCATCAACCATGAACCATGAACCCTTTGTTTAGCCCAAAAATAAAACCACTAAACAATTACAAGTTTCCATATGTATACAACTATATATCATCTATGCAAGGGTGATGATCTCCAATCTAGATCATCTTCTGAAGAAGAAGAGGAAGAATCTCTCAGTAGTTCCTGAGGGGGTATGAAACAGTCCAAGGACAACCCTGCCACATTGAATGCAACATCATCAATGGTCCATGACTCTTCCAACCTTGTGGTGGCTGGTCCAGCCTTAAGGTTGTCCCCAAACCTGGTGATCAACGCCGTGGAAGAGCCAGCGTGTGCTATCATCACACCATCAACAATTCTGTAGTCCTCAATCTTTGTTGACATTGTGGTTTCCCAGTATGTGGGGTGAGAGCCTGGTGCTTGGATCCTGGTGAGGTAAGAGTCCTCTAGGTGCACCAGAAGGCCACTTCTTTGGCTGAAGTAGCCGAATATGGCGTGCTTGATCATCTCGGCCGTGTTGTCGCTGCGTTCTGCAAGGTCCTTCTGATCAGCTGAGAGTTTCAGCACAAAGCAATCTATGCCTGAGATTTGTTTCTCCCCCATGTATTGTGCTGCACTAAATACAGCAGACACTGCCAAAGGGTCTAGTCCCTACAAAAATATTAGCAACCATGGTGTCACTTAACGTAACAAAAACAAAACCGCTAAAATCAATGACAAATAGTCGAGACACCAAACACATATGTCTTCACATTGATATGATATTGTTCATTTTAGTCTAAACTTATTGAAATCAATGCCAAATAGTAGATACCAAGTGTTGTGAACCAAGAATTTACACGTACACGTCTTTACATTAGTATGATATTGTCTATTTTGATCTGAATTCATTGAAATCAATGCCAAATAGTAGAGACACCAGGTCTTGTTCATTGGGAGTTCACATATGCATGTTTCCACATTGATATGAATGTATGATATTCTCCGCTATGGTTTGAACTCCCATAGATTTAATTTTGGTAATCAATCAAAAAGGCTCATACCAATGGATATTTTGTGTGATTTATAAACTCATGTTCCATCTCCTATTCTAATGATATAGGTATTTGTTTGTACTCCAACACTAACATGGATAGCATTATAGATATTGATTAAGTCACTCTCAGTCTCACTGCAAAGTGGTCCCTCTAGGCTAGAAAGTCAACAATTGCATTCATATTTTGCGTGTGAACATTAAATTTGACTCTTTTAGTCTTCTTAGGCTATGGTTTTGAAGAATCTTATATTAAAAGGTTAAGCCAAATTAATTACATGTGATGGTAGATGATCATTTTGTGTAGTGGCAGGAAGCTGAGAAATAAAGACAGGAATGTGGTTAGATGGAACAAATGAATGAAATTATTAGGGAAACAGAGATCCGTTAACTTGGCTGGTAGCATATGGATATATTGAAAGCCTTGTATTAATTAAAATCAACAATAGCTGTGGTGTTAACCCGCATTTATGACCATTTAAACAAAATTAAAATGCTGGTCTACATCTGTTACTGATCTGTGTCAATTTAACTCATTCCAAAAGGGGTCACATTTTATGTCATAACACTATACCTCACCAATTCATGGAGCCAGGGATTAGGTCACAAGTCATAACACTTCAATTTCTTTACAATAGGGAGAGTGATACAATATTTTCAAACTCAGAATCATTAGGTACTAACATTAACAATCACATTTGCTGTCAATTATAACTCAGCTCTAAAACAAGCTTCAAGGTTCCACCAAATACCAATGAATAGCATTACACCAACCAACATAACAGTACTAATAACAAACACAACACCAAATCTGTTGGAAAATTTAAAACAAGACATGGTGATTATGATGATGATGAACTTGCCTGAAGGGCGCGGCGAAGAGGTCGCACACCGCCTTTGGCGGCGTGCACACCAAGCCAAGGGGTGTGGCGCCAAGCAATGGCGCCATTGCTACCGGCCACAACCTTTTGGCCACTCAGAACCAGCTCTATCTGCCACTTATCAGGGACCATTTGCCACATCACAAAGCACCCTTTCTCCAAATTAACACCACCACCATTGGATCCAAGCTCATCCACCACATCCATTGTCACTTTCCCCGTTGTGAACACATTTTTCACTGTCCCCTCCAACTTCCTACACCCTGTTGCTGCCCTGAAGTGTTGTATGATATACTGTGCAGAGGATGACACCTATTACACACATTGCAACAAATGAAGAAACCAAAAAAATTCATTGAAACGCCTTTCCCTTTCACCTTTCTCTGTGCTAGAAAAGAAAAATACAACAACCTTTTATATTTTAACTACAAACTCATTACAGTAATCACATGGTAATTAACGTGATAAAATTGGTGGCACACATACATAAAGATTAAAGAGGTTCCATGTATAGAGAAAGTGATCTAAAGTAACGCTTTAAACTAACTTTTTAGCTTTGATCAAGAAAGAACATCATTCCACTCATAATCACCATGATTCCCTTAAAAAAAAAAACACCCAAAATTTTATTTTTCATATACACAAAACACAACAAGAGAAAAAAAAAATGGTACTGTTTTTTTCCTTCTTGTAATTATGCAGGGAAACATATCTGTGCTTGCTTATATTTTTTCTTTTTGGTTTGTGACATGTATCCTCTAAAGAGATAATATGTTAAAGACACATTATGTTTTTTGTTTATGATATTAAATATGAAGACCCCTCTTGTAAAATATGAAATATAGAAGTTTCCAAAGAGCAACACCACCACATTCTTTTGCATGGTGATGATGCATTAGAATTTAGAAAAGAAAGAAAGAGAAGAGAAGAAGAAACCTCATTGAAGGGTAATAAGGGGTGGACAGGGAGAGGGAAGAGGGGGCAACCCAAGACACTAAGGAGGATCTTGAGGTTGGACTTCTTGTTTAAGACAAGGCAAAAGTGGTTCTTGATCCAGTTCCACTTTCTCCATGAATGAAGCCTTTTCTTTGAGTTGTTGTTGTTTCCTTCATCTTCTTCGTTTGTGGGTTCTTCTGACAATGGTGCAAGTCTTCCCATCACACACAGCTTCTTCTGGTTGTTGTTGTTGTTCAGACGTGAGAAAGAGGAAAATGCCTCAAGACAAACTTCAAAGGATCCAACACAACACACTCTCTTGTTGCTGTTGTATTGTGTTTGGGGTTGAGCACGCGCAGGGCCAGCGCGTGGGAAACACGAGGAAGAGAAAAAGGTTGCACCAAAGTTAACTGCAAGATTGAATGTGGTGTGATGTGACCCCAAAGGGTCCAATTTTAAAGGGAGGGTGTAAAAGAAGTGAGAAAGATAGAAGTTTGATCCACCTTTTGAGCTTTTAGATTGCATTATTATATATATGGTGTGGTGATGAGTGATCTAATACACCTGTTTTTCAGAAAGGAATCCCTAACTTTGGTAAAATTAGAAGTTTCTAGCTAACACACTAATATATTTTTCAATTTTTGAGTCCTTAGAATTTTCAAATTAGAATCAATTATATAACATAACTGTTAGTTCTCTAACATTTTTTTAGTAGTTAAAAATATAGTAAATTTGGTGTACTTTTTTCACTAATTAAGAAAAAAAAACTTGTTAAATAACATATAATATTTACAAAATTTATGATTTTAATAAATTTAAACTAATAACATAATAAAATATTAAAAAACAATTAATAGAAAGTATGCTACTAACATTTATGAGTGTAATTTATTTATACTATTTATAGTAATAATGATTGAAATAGTATATACAAGATTTTTCATATAAATTTTAGTGTTGTTATTATAATTTATATGAATAAAAAATTAAGAAATTATTTTCTAATGAAATTATATATGGATTGAATTAATTAATCCATTAAAAAGTAAGAGGCAGCTTTGTTAGCAGATTATTCATTCACTGAAAAACACTTTCAAAATAATAAATTGTATATTACATTTATTTATTTCAACTAAAGGCAGTACTCGAGCATCAAAGACACACTCAAAAGGAGATTAAGAAGCCTTAGCCAACTCATTATCATTTGGAATTGAAAATTATTAAGAATTTAAAACATAAAAAACCATATCATTTGGACTTTCAGAGTTCAGTTTATACTTTATACATTATGATCTGCTTCCAACAGGTCTTTGCACAATGTTCTATGAAAAGCATTTCACTAACATTGGTCGCACGTTGGCCAACAACTTTTCACCCAAAGTTGGTCCATGATTTCTTTATCTTTAGATTGGAGGGTTACCCTTCGATCATGTGATAATAATAAAATAATAATCATGTCAAGAACAATAGAACATTGTTGTTCAACTGCCACCATTATTATTATTGACCAAAATAACTTCCACCGTTATTTCTTAATAAGAGTAACGTTATTTTTTATTTTATAAATGTATTTTGTTATAAAATAGAAGAGATAAGAGAAAAAAACTGGAAAATAATAAATAAAAAAGATAAATAATACGGTGATCGAAAAAATGTAAAAGGGTAAATATGAATAAAAATAGCATTTAAAAAATAAATAAATAAATAATCATGCACATGCATCAGGCACATTAGAACAACTTTGCATGTCACGTGCTAGGCATATTTTCTTAAAGAAGTCACGAAATGTGAAAAGCGTCTGTACGTCAAAATAATAGAAATGCAAATTATTTGAAAACTATTTTTTTCTTTTTTATATTTAAGAAAAAAAAACACGTGGAGGATTATTCTAAACATGGTAATTAAGAAAGTCTAATTAATTTAACAAGTGTGTGAGTGCCGTAAATTATCTTAATTATTATCTGTTTAATTTCTATGAATATAACACATGACAAATCTAAATTCTGAATTCATCCTCAAGTGATAAAAAAGCTAATGCTACTATTGTATTTTGTTTTTACGGTAGGAACAAAAGTTCTTTATTATTTTGTGATTTTATTCCAAATCTCTATTGAGACATTTTTATTAATTCATTTTTTATTATCAAAGAGACACCAAAATTTGATCACCATGTAGTATTTATTTATAAGTCAAATAATGGAGATCGATTATCTATTTTATCATTAAGTCTCGCTAAATCTTAATTTTAAGACAATTCATATTATTTCTAGGCTAGCTATGAATTTTTATCCTTGAACAAAAGTAGTATTTTTATTTAAAATATTACTTCTTGTTTTCACTTCCTAGAGGAGTATTGTATAATAATTTATTTAAAATCATGGAACCACTTTTATGAACTATATGAAAAATTTTAAGCAAAATTTCCTTTTTGAAACAGAAAAGTTACTAGTGTTGATAAGGGAAAATTAAATTAGAAAGTATTGTATTAGCATCCATATAATCATAATAGTTATAAGTTTAAGTAATAATTATAAGTTTAATTAAGGAGAAAATTGTCTAAAGAAAAAAATCTTGAATTTATATAAGATATTGGTTATGGTCTTTAACTGAAAAAACTTTAAGATATTTGTTTTATATCATAATGTTTTGAATTGTCATGAGATTTCTATCGAAAATATATCTATTAAAATGAATGTATAAAATCAAGATTGATTTATACAAGTGATAACGATTTGTATTTTTTAACTAAATTGTTAAAGATTTGAATTCTAACGTTAAATATGAAATAATACACACTTTGTATGCATTCAAGATCTCCAAAAAAAATTAGCACGATAAATACTTCATTCTAATATCATGGTTATCTAGAAAAATAAAACAAATGCATAAAAGTCGTTCAGTTTGTAAATTTCATTTGAAATGTAACATAATTTAGGAAGGAAAGTTTTGACCGGTCTTTTTTAGTTATCACTATTGGAATAAACTCTCTCTTACACTCAACACCATTTGACTTTATACGTGTATCAATGATGGTGACTCCTTTTAGAATAGATTTAGATACTTCTAATACCATATTAAAAAAGTAAGTTAAGAGTTTAACTCAATTTTACAAAATTGTGCTTAACTTGTGTATCAATAATGGATGACTCTTTCAAAACAAATTTCATGTGAAATGTAGTGGAATTTAAGTGAAAGTGGTTTTTGAACTTTGGAGGAAAGTTTAATTTTGACCACTCTTTTTCAATTATCATTATTGGAATGAACTCTACTTCACGACCAACGTTATTAGACTTGATGTGTACATTAATGATAGGAGACCCTTTTAGAGTAAATTTAATAATTTTGATACTATCTTAATAAAATGAGTTAATAGCCTAACACAACTTCATAAAATTGAATTGTAAGATGAAAATTACTTATAAACACTAATATGATCATATCACTAGTCGATGTGATGTGAAATTAAAAAAAAATATTTTTTTTTATATTTTTGATGAAAGTATGATGAAGAAGATTAGGTTGCAATAATATTGACCAAAGGGTTTTATTAAAGTATTATGATATCATATAGGGATAAATTTATCATAATGAGGTATTAAGGGGTTTCGAATGATCATTGGTTTTTCTTTTATCTTAATTAGATAATTTTGAACAACTATAGCCGTTTTATTTATCTTTCTTTGTGTTACATGTATCGAGACTACTATTATTAATTTAATTGACTAGCAGGTTTAATACTATTTTAGGATTTAATTACTAGAACCAGTCTTGAAAGCTAACGAATTTTCATTGCTCCTAATAACCCTAAATGAGAATTAAAATGACTTATCTCAAACTCTAAAATTCAGAAACAAAACATGCAACTTAAGTTTCGTACCAGAGTAGAAGGACAATTGATTATTTAAAAGAGAAGATAGCGTGTCTTGAATGATAGATTTAAGACGCACTTTTTCAAAAAGTAGAACTTCAATTAAATGTGATTAAACAAATTAGAGCTTAAATTAAAAATAGTAGTAATTTTAGGAGATGTAAGAGCATCTCTCATGTAACGACCCACCTAACTGTCACACAACAAAACAACACCACACAGAAGTAGAGTATGCATATAAAGGAATAAATATATATACACATGTTTAGCCTGGGGCTTAACAAGTCAGTATTTAAAATTAACAAAGTTGCTACACCAAGTAGCCCACACCAAAAGTCAGCTTCTGCTATCACCTATAGTCCTGCTACTACACTTCAGTCTATCCCTTCTCTACTCCCATACACAGTATGATCATTGCAGTCCAACCCCCATGAAAACAGACAAGGGTAAGCTAGTGAAAAGGAATCAACATATAGTTAAATTATAAGCAGCTTTCAACTTAACAGCATCATCATCATTCTCAACAGATTTAACATACAACACATAACAACATACAGCTCAATCACAGCTACACAACACACTGCACATATATAACTCATATCAACATCAAATCAACACAACAACAAATTATGCGTCGTCACGCATTTCAACTCGAAGATCTCCTACAACATGGGTGAGCAGTTTAAGTGGCTAGGTCCTACCGAACTGATAGCAAAGAACCTTTTTGGGCTTGCTAGGTAAATAGCAAATTTGGATGCCAATCCACAGCACGATAACGATTTCTTAGACTTTGCCACTTAAACAAGGAAGTATAGTACTATGTCAGGATAGAACAACTGGGTTTTAGGCCTACCACGACATTAGCTAGCTTAACCAAGACACCTATGGAATTAGCCTACCGACTATCCTCCAAATACTACAACCCTCTGATACTCAGTTAGGAACTAAGTTCCCGACTTCGTACACGTGTGCCTATACCGTGGTCGCTTTGTACATGTGTGCCTCGACCTTGCCCACACACAGGATCAACTAAGTCCTAGAGGAGAACAACACAATGTCCACTCCAAGGAACAACTTCCCAAGGAGTATTTTTCAACAATTGGGCTTTCTGAGCACCACAACTTTCTCAATCCATACAATGGGATGAGCAACTTCGAAAACATCTCCTCTAGTCCTAGTGATCAACAGCTCATCATCACAATATAGTCAACATACAACACAACTCAACTTAACATCTTTAATAGCATAATCAACATACAACACAACTCAACTTAACGTATTTAACAACATAATCAACATACAACATAGCTCAACGTAACGTATTTAACAGCATAATCAACATACAACACAACTCAACTTAAGTCTTCTCATCATATACAAAATTCAACATTTTCTAAGTCATAGAGTAAAACACTTCCATGCCCAGCGCAATTAAACTCGCGCCCAGCGTGAACCCAACCCGAGGGCTCTAAAGCTCTTACACGCCCGGCGTATCCTCATTACACCCGGCGCAATAGAAGGCAGAGACTTCTAAGAGTCTCCCAAGCTTGGCGTACCAAACTCGCGCTCGGCGCAAACAAGGCAGAGACCTCACCAAGGTCTCACGCCCGACGCGCTCATT